ATTGCCTTCGTGATAAAATGTTGTTTTCAATGAGAAAAGGTCATAAGGATATAATAAATTCATTTACATACATACCTATGATGCATATTATTCAAGTTATTCGTAAGAGTATCATTGAACGGCATGTGGAAACTGGTAGTATTGGTGAGTGCTGTAACATTTCTTACATCTGGAGATTTCTCTAACATTGGCCTAAGTAATGTTAACAGGTTATCCACTTTTTCTTTAAATATTTCAATATCAAAGTGGTTAATAAAATATGGCGAAGGGCTCTAGAAACAAAAGCATGCTTAAATAATGATATGGCCGAACCTGTTTCTGAGAATAGGTACCTGGTTATACGAATATCTTGGTTTTAAGTTAATACAACATAAGTAAATCAATGCATAGATCAGTAGATAGATAATTTTATAGATAGATATTTATTTCAAACAGGTAAAACCCAATTACAGAAAATGTGATACAGTATACTCTCTCTCTATAACTGAACACAGTTATTGCAGGAGTTTCGCTTATAACAAGGTACATTAGATGTCCCATGAAATTTCTATTGAACTATAACCCTCTATAGCGAGGTAAATTTGGTTATATCGAGAGAAAATATGGTACTAATCACTTTGTTCGAAACCAAAATATATTGGGAGAACTTACATAAACGAACTATCTGATCTAAATCAAACACATTATGTGATGATATATGTTAGAGGATTGCTAGATGAAGCTGAAGGGTGTATTTATCAAATTTGTAAGACTCAATTTTAACTAACATTTAAACTCAAGAAGTAGTTCATATGTTACATTTATATAAATTATACTGTATTCAAAAGACATACTTACAAATTCAAAAGTATGTAAAACATCTGAACATTTTATTATTTGGCCATGAATGTTTTCATTTAGTTTATCTAAATTTTCACTTTCCATGAGGCATTTTTCTTGCATTGTTTTTAATTTTACTGATGACTCAATTTCTTCTTTCACTTTTTGAGTAAGATCATTGGTAAGTTTTTCTTCCAAGTTTCTAAAAATTCAGTATATTGATAAAAACATTCAAATAACTTTACTATTTTCATCATTCTATTAAAACGAAACAGACCAATTTATAATACCAAATTTAAATTATGTTTAATATGATTAAGCAACAATCTGAACAAAACATATAAAAATATATTTATGTAAGTAGTAAAGAAATAAAATCAATAATTCTCACATATGTTTACAAACTTTCTTAAGTAAGACATGATTGGAAAAATATAACTTACCTGTTATAAGCAATTGCTTGACTTAATTCCCTTTCCTGTTGACAAGCCAAATTAAAATCTTCTTCTAGAAACTCAATTTCCAATGAATTATATTCTGTGTCAAATATACCCGGATATTTATTTTCTATTTCATCTTTTTTAACTTCCAATTCCTCATTCGTAAGAGGTGCTTCAATAGCATTATATCTAAAAGAGGAAATTAAAATAGAAATAACAAAATATGAGTATGGAATGAATATTCTAGAGAAAAAGATTCATGCATGATATTACATAAAGAGTATGTGTAAAAAGGGAAATTACACAAGAGTGAGAGAATTATAACTCCAAGGCAGGGAGTAAATGATAAAGAAGTAACACAAGATAATTTTCTGTTTACTGACTATTCTACTTGATATGAAAATAAGAAAAATATTAATTGAAGGTGAAAACGAAAAGAACAAAATATAACTGGAGAAATTATGTTTAAAAATATCTAAATAAACTGAAATATGTAACTGAAGATAATTTACGAAGTTTATTAAAGTTAAGTGACTAAAAATGGTTACACTAACACTAAGCTATGGGTCAACTATTTGGAAACACTAGAGCTTTACTACACACAATGAATTTCTTACTCTGAAACTTCTTGATTTGATATGTAGTTTCCTTTAGAAAGCGATACGCACATCCAGTTCAACAAGTTTTTCATATCGTTATCATCTGTATCAAACCAAGCTTTAACAACATTTGGATTTAAATGCAGTAACTGTATATCTAATTCTTTAAACACTTTAAGAAGGTCCTCTCCGCTAAAACCCGACATTATTGATATTCGATTATGGTTTCCTGTACTTTACTTAGAGTTATTTAATGTTCTAGTATTACAGTTCTTTTTTCAATATTAATAATAAAAAAGTTCACTTCACTTCACTTCGTTTTTTTGGCTTTAATAATAAAAAAGTTTTGGTTTTTGACTTTTTGATTTAAATTTCTGTCAACTTAACGGCAATGTCATTCAATTCTTCTTTTCAACATGTGGCCTGTTGCTTCTACGCATTCAGCTATTTCGATGTAAAATATGGCTTGTTTAAAACTTATTAACCAATTAATCAAAACAGTGGCAAGGGAACATGTATTTCTCTTTTGGAATTTGAAACGTTAGAACTTTGAATAGACTCGGACCGTTGAGCGCCTGCCCAGGAAATTGAAAAGTTACAAGATTGGCATGGCAGCAATTCAGAAAGCTATGGCAGAAAAGATGGCTAGGGAAGGGTATTCTGGTCATGAACACTTTATGGTCCCAATTATAAGAGTAAACATAGGACCTAACACCAAAAAACGACATCAAAATAGTTATGTGATAAACGCGCAAAAGTAGGAAGTGAAAAAGATAACATACATAGAGACACGAATAAAAACAGCCAATATCTTATTGACTTTGCAGCTATTTAAAAACATTATAATCGAATCTAATATATTTTCCCACAAAAGCACACACAAAGGCCCCTGAATATCGATCTAAAGGCGCCTTGATAGAAAAGCGATCAGAAACAATCATTCGTAAAAAGTAGATGAAGTGCGTGCTGAAGCTCAGACCACCTTCAAGTTTAGGTACACTTTGATATAGATCAAACCGACAGGCAATAGAGAATCAACTAAGAAAGGAAATTCTAGATCTGGGAAAACTGAAAAGGCTCAAAACTGAAAAGAAATTTAAGGAGAAATAAAGAGAAAAAGAGATAGGTATCACTACAAGATCAGTGGAACCTAATAAGTAAAACCACATTAACTGCAGCAAAATCGATGCTAGGAACTAGAGAAAGCAGAGATGACCAATGGTTTGATATTGAGTGTAAGTGTACCAGTATTAGGAAATCACGTAACATTAGAGGATCCATCATTTATGTTTTTTAAAGTAACTAAAACATAGTAAAATCATGAGTTGGGTGTTTTCTTGAAAGGTAAACTAAATGCACCGACCAAAATACTTACCAATGTACGGGATAGTACTATGAAGTTTTTTTCTTGATTTTTTCCTCCTAATTTACTATGGAATCACTATCAGGAGAATTTTACTGTCATCATGGCATGTGTTTTGTCTTTTTAAAGACGGAACTACATGCTATGTTTTTTTCTGACGGACATTCTCAAGTTCAAGCTTGATTTCATGATAATCGAATGAATACTATCTGATAAGTAAAGTCGTCCCAGGAGCGCAAACTCAACAATAATTGGCAATATCATTTTAATGTCGTCTACTTTAAAATGGGCATAAGTGTATGTATGTCTTGAATTGTCAATATAAAATGAGTGAGATTAAAATTAAATTATTAGAGAAGTATGTTCACTAAGATAAACGAAAAAACAAAATTTAGTTTTTTAATTTACTGTGTTGTATTTTGAGAAACGATTTCCTGAGGTGGAAATTGGTAATCGATCAATAAACGTTATTTTTTATCTAACTTAGTTTTCGTACTTGGAGAAAACCATTTTCTTTTTTTGATTACCGGTGTGCTTTTTCTTTCACTTTAAATTATTTTATAGTGTTGTTAGCAAAACAGAATTATTGTGGGTCCCATCTCTTTGAAGCCTTACTTGCAGTAATCATTTCTTCTCTTAGAGTATAAGTTATGTTAGATAATCTGCGTTAAAATATCTAGCGGTGAGTATCGCTTCAAAAAATTGAGCAGTTTTTTCTTTCCATCAGAAAACGATAAGTAATTTTCCGCAGCTGTTTCATCATATATAAATTTGAAGCAACTATATTGTCGCTTTCAAAATTTCTCAAGTTTAGACGAACTAGAAGCCTTCATATCAATACTTGTTTACTTGAAATTTCTACTGATTTTTTTTTTGAATATTTTTACCAGAAACAATATTATTTTGTTACTCCAATTTACGAAGCAAATCGAAAATAATTTGATTTAATAGAGCACCCGAGAATAAATTACCAAACACAAGTTAAATTGAAAGAAGGTAATGGATCCTAAAAAGAAGAAAAAGGAATACCTAATAAGGATATAGACAGAGTACTTCTCATTATGTATGTAAAAATGCCGTGGCCGGTCTGGCAGGATCAATCTGTCACTTCTGGAACAGTCTCATATAAACGACAGGGTAATAAAAAAAGAAAACCGAGAATATATAAATTACTTTAGCCATAAGAACGGGAACTATGGAATTATTGGTAGTAGAAGGAAAGGTGGAAAATGTTATCGAGAACCGCTTGATAAATAGGTTAACAGATAGTTTCCTCTACAAACTATTCCAAAAAGTTCTGGAGCTTTTTTTTGTTTGATAGCGTACACGTTTGATAACGTATTATACGTAAAAAAGAGGATATATGTTTGTTAATGGATATATTTAAAAACCCCTAAAAGGGCTAACGTCAATTACACGAATGTTTTCGGAATAATAATTTCATCATCAGGTTTAAAATGCAAATTAACATGCATTGCATTTTAAACCTGATGATGGAATTATTATTCCGAAAACGTTCGTGTAATTGATGTAGCCCTTTTAAGGGTTTTTTTTAAATATACCCATTTACAAAGATCTAACCTCTTTTTTGTGATACGTGGTATACAGCCAGCTGCAGGAATTATTTTCCTTGTGGATTTTGTATTATACGTGTCATTATATTTAAGTTTACACATTTTAAGAGGGATAAAAAAATATGTTAATGCAATATTATTTTATTTAAACGTATTTCCATCTACCAATATACTTAAATACATCACATAAAAAGGAAAATGCTTTTCAAGCATAGTTTACATATTCATCACTGCTTGTAAAGGAAACGTGCGGATGGAAGTCTTCTTCTGAGCCTATGCTGATGTGTACTGGGTTGTTTAAATCAATGTTGAACTGGTTTAAACCATTTGAGCTTAGATTACCTAAAACAAGTATATTGTATATTTTACAAGCTGATGATATATATTGTATTTAATATACAAATAAATATTGCAATTTTTAAACTTAGTAAAGGAAGACGGAAAATTGGAGTCACTTAAGTACAATTCATCCTATAAGTAATTGAGCAGATACGATTGAAATAATCGTATCTGCTCAATAACGTCAATATGTTACAAATATTATACATGTTTCTGAAATATTAATAATAATCCAAATGATAATCTTTTGGCACACTACAGGTAATTTTGTAGTAGATATTGCAAACACTCTTGATTACGGCACAGTAGACGAAATTTGGTTTACAATAGAACCTTTCAGCCTTTAACGTGAATTTTGACTGCCTTCGCGCAGCTCCATGGTCAGAAGTGTTTGCACTATCTTTAATAGGTTCTCCTCAGAGCTTAATACCTGATTACCTGGTTTATACTTGACCAACAAACAATGAAATAACCTACTTACAACTTAATTTTAGTTTATGTATAGATACCTGCTAAAGTTCGGTGTAAATCTTTTATAATATTATCCAGTTCCATTTGATTAAGTTTCATCGTTATTTTGGTAGAATTGTTATCATACAAAGATCTCTTCGCTCTGGAAAGTAATGCAAGAGTAAATTCACTCTCAGATACTGGTGTGTCATCTGTACCAAATTCCTAAAAAAGATAAAATGCGTCGTCTTAATAATTTGATTGATATTAATATAAAATCATGAATGTGTTGCTTGTGTGAGTCCATATCAAATAGGTAAAGGAAATAATAATAAGACTTACTCACAATCAATTTAATTTAACAATCTGACGACCGGTTTCGCTTTCTATAATTTGCAAAGCATCTCAGGTCGAGATACAAAGTTAAACTAATGCTGCAATAAAATAAACCCAATTAGGGGGGTGTCTCATAAAAATTAAAATAAACAATAAAAACATTAGTTCATACAAAATTATAGTAATTATGCCAATATTACATGTCTGTGGTTTTCAATATGGAATAATCTCTGTTCCAATACAGAGATCTGTTGTAAATGTAAAACAGATCCAAATCTGTTTGGATCAAATCTGTTCTCCTTCAAAGAAACTTCCCGTTTATTGTCAAAAACAACTTGCAATAGCTCATTATAAGTTCTCCAATCAACAATACATGATTTTTGCAAACCATGACCTACCATCCATCTATTAATAGAGTACCGGCATGTAAGTAATGTTTGTTTTGTTTTGTTATTTATTTGCTCATTTATTAATTTATTACAACAAAAGATTGCTACTTTATACCAATTGTGGGCCTTACCTTGTCTGTTACTACCTTTTATATATTCAAATTATTCATTTTGAAAACCACAGGACATGTAATATTGGCATAATTACTATAATTTGTATGAACTAATTTATTTATTTGTTTATTTTATTTTTATGAGACACCACCCTAATTGGGTTTATTTTATTGCAGCATTAGTTTAACTTTGTATCTCGACCTGAAGATGCTTTGCAAATTATAGAAAGCGAAACCGGTCGTCAGATTGTTAAATTAAATTGATTGTGAGTAAGTCTTATTATTATTTCTTTACCTAATTTGAATATTAATATGTTATTTATCTATAAGACTTGAATAAATTTGTATTATATATTCGTTTAATGCTGGAAACTAAAAATGAACAGAATGATATTAGATTTTTATGTGTAATATACAGTGGGCCACAACTTAACTGATGCAGTCGCTACTGGATAAATAAAACTAGCTTGTGTCAGTGGCTCAATATTTATTAGAAAAAAAATTACATACTGAAATTTAAATTAATTTAAATAACAATAAATATATTTAATTATTTAACTTTTGTTTTAGTATCTCTCCACCCTCGGTTCTAGTATCATCACCATCATCATTCCGCAACCTGTTGCATCCAATTTTGGATTATGGGTCTCCTCCATATTCTTCTATTGTTTTCTATCTTGTGCCATCAGTATCGAATTTTCCCACTGTTTTTCTCCAAAGTCATCCATCCATCTTATTGGTGGTCTACCTCGGTGTCTTTTGTCTTTTCTGGGTCTCCATTCTATGAGTCTTTTGGTCCACCTATTATCATTTAAACGTGCTATATGTCCAGCCCACCTCTATTTGGCTTGTGCAATTTTTTCTATGACATCTGTCACTTTAGTGACTCTCTCTCTCTCTCTCTCTGTGTCATCCCGTGAGAGGTTGTTGGACCCAGGTGGCGGATGGGGAAGGCCTCCTAGATATAGGTGGTATCGAGGAAATGAAATACTCGGGGCGGACCAAAACCAGTAAACCACTGCAAGTGTCTGATCCAGAGTGATCGGCTGCAATCAGCATCTGACCCAGAGTGGGCGGCTGAATCGAAACTCAACAAACCCCGTTTTACCAGGCGTGGTATTTTAATCTCAAAAAAAACCCTCAATAAAATGTAGAAGGTTCAGAACTAAAATATTCCAGCCAATGCAGAACGAATCGTATCTAGTATAAGTGCCCTGAAAAAACTGTTTTCAAGTTATTAGAGCCCTAAACTCTATAAAATTTTTTAACGAATTTTTATGAGATTTGGCGCGACGTAGGTACCAAACTTGTTTTTGGCACCAGCAAGGTTTTCCTCGTCTTTACCAACCTTTTTTAGGCCAAGAGCCGCCGCTATGGTGTTATTGAGCTTAGTATATCCAAATGCATCTATTGGTTCATATTCCCTTTTAATAAAATGCATGTTACCTACTCCTGCAGACGAAATATATCCCCACATCATTACTCCACCTCCACCGTGCTTTACCGTAGCTAACACCAATTGAATAAGCCTACTTCTTTGGCTAATAAAAGGTTTATTTCTTAGAGAGCAGTTCGACGATGAAGAATATTCTTTGAAAGCTATCTTTCCACCGTCAATTTTGGTGCCTTTTTTTTTAAGGATTATTTGTTTTTTCTCTGAGAATTCATCTTTCCTCCGTCCGTAAAAAATCTTATTTGGAGCTAACCTTGATTTATTTTCATTTTAGTAACGTTCAATAATGTCTTCTTCTTCTTAGTCGTTAACCTGATGCAGGTATCGTGATATCATAAAGCTATTAGCTAATTTTTCCAATGTTCCTCCACGTTTTTCTATCTTCTGCCTATTCTAGCACATTCTGACAATGGAGCGCCAATGGTAGCAACAATATGGTCCGTGTATCGTGTGAGAAATCTACCTCTATTTCTTTTGCCTTCTACTTTTCCCTGGATGGTAAGTTTTTCAAAACCATTTCTTCGAAGCACATGTCCAAAATAGCTTATTATTTGTTCTGATATTTGTGTTCTTAGTCTTTTCTTTATGTTTAGCTGGTCCAGTATGGATTCATTTGTTCTTCGGGCCACCCATGGTATTCTCATATTCGTCTTCAGCAGTACATCTCAAATACATCTATGTTCTTTTTGTCTTTCTCAGTAAGGGTCCAGCATTCCGATGCATAAGTAAAAACTGGAAAAACTAGACTTCTTACTAGTCTCATTTTTGTATCGGTAGTTATTTCATGGCTTTTCCAAATTTTTGTTAATTTAGCCATAGCGCTTTTTGCGATTGCTAACCCCCGCTTTATTTCTTCAGTACAGCCTCCTTTGTTGTCAATAATATTGTACTGAACTGTTAATAAACATTTATTTACCATTTTGGACAAGTCTCTTTGGCTATATCTATTTTAATGGTGAATACTAATTGAACTTCTTTCACTAATCTTAGTTTGGTGACCTATTCTTAAATAATTTTGTTATTTGCCGATTAAATACTCTTAAATGTCAAATTAAACATAAAATGAACTGCAATATGAATTTAATGCAACCCATACGTCGCAAATTTAAAATTGATAAGTTGTGTAATGCATCATTTTAGCAGTGACATCAAAATCATACATCAAATAATTAAATACACACAATATTATAACACACAAACTATTGTTGTTAAGTATGGTCTATTTGAATTACACCAGCTAAAAGTAGGTGTAGTCGTAGTTTTAATAAGTAGCGACTGTATCATTTAAGCTGTGAGTTGTATACGTGTACGCATATATACAACTTGTAGATTATGTACAGTAATAAAGGACTTATACAGATTCTTACCAAGCATTTACCGCTGACGCAATAAGCTTTCTTATTAGCTGGCATCCCCTTAGAGCAGTCAGTTCCAAATGGAAACCATCCGTCTTCTCCGTTTACCAAATAGAATCTATGGGAGATCAAAGCATCTTGGCAAGCTACTCGACATGATCTATCAGGATCCTCTACAAAATATAAACATAGATAGAGCTGAAGTTAACACCGCTTATATGTATGTCGACGGTCGATATCGATTTCGAATAAATTTCATCTTTAGTACACAG